TGGAAATAAGATAACTGTTGCATTTTTGGATTAGAGTATGTAGAGAGTTTTGGAAATTCCTACCTTTGTGTACTATTATTTGGTACTAAATTTGGTACAGACGGAATTTGGAAGAACGCATAGAGCTGGTATCCGAAATTTGAAATGAAATAACATTACGTGCAGAGAGTAGGATTGGGATATGGAGGTAGTTTTCAATGGTACTAAATTTGGTACAATTTAAGTTTTGGGAGAATCGGTAGGGTTGGAATCCAGAAATTTGGAAATAAGAATTCTATAGAACTTTATGATGTAAGTAGCTATGAAAATTTGTACTTATGTAAACTAAACAGTACTAAATTTGGTACAATTCGAATTTGGAGGAACAGATGGAGATGGAATCCGGAATTAGAGATTAGTTTTGAAGATTTTTACTCATATGTACTAAAAATTACTAGTTTTTGTATAATTTGGATTTGGTTAAATCGATAGAGTTGCAGTTCTGGAATTGGGAATAACAAGTTAAAAAGCAGTAAGTTCGGCCGGGCCAAACTTTGAACACCCTCCACCATTTGGAACGAATTTGGAAATTAAAAAAAAATAAAATCCTTATAAAATGCTGTTAAATTTTAAAAATTGCTGTTATATTGGGGTCTATACGACGTGGACCTATTTGTTTGCCATTACCATATTCAAATTCGAAACTTGAAACAAACGGTAAATAATGTAGCTAAAATCATCAAAATATCGTATATAGGGAGGTACCATTATATCGGAGCTGTGCGAAGACCTGGATCAGCATAGACAATTTTCTGCCACAGGCTATAGCATCCATTACTAACGTCAAACACGATATCTCAAACAATTTCGGTGGGCGTTGTACCTAAACTCGTCAAAATACCGAATATAGGAAGGTACTGATATATGGGACCTATACGAAGACCTGGGCCTGCTTAGATATTTTTCGGTCACAGACTGTAGTTCCCATTACGAACTCTAAATAGGTGATTTGAAACAATTCCGGTGAATAATGTCGCTAAAATCATCAAAATACCGAATTTTGGGAGGTACCGTTATGTGGGGGCTATACGAAGACGTAAACCTACACAGACAATTTTCTGTCATTGGCTGTAGCATCCATTACGAATCTCAAATACCAAATTTGAAACAATTTCCGTGAATAATGTCGCTAAAATCATCAAAATACCGAATATCGGGAGGTACCGTTATATGGGTGCAATACGAAGACGTGAACCTGCCCAGGTAATTTTCTGTCATTGGCTGTAGCATCCATTTCGAACTTCAAATACAAAGTTGAAACAATTCCGGTGAATAATGTCGCTAAAATCATCAAAATACATATTAAGGGGGCTATATATTATATGGGGGCTATATGAAAACGTGGACCTACATGGCCCATTTACGAACTTAACCTGCCTACTGGAAAAATAAACACGTGTGCAAAATTGTAGCCTTCTATCTCAATTCGTTCGAAAGATAGCGTGATTACAACAGACAGACGGGCAGAAAGACAGACATACAGACGGACATGGCTAAATCGACTTAGAATTTTACACTGATCAAGAATATATAAATACTTTGTTGGGTCTGACATGAGTATTTCGAGGAGTTACAAACGGAATGACAAAGTTAATATACCCTCCATAGTATGGTGGAGGGTATAAAAATTACTGGTGGAGTGTAGGATTGGGATATACAGGGTGAGATAAAAAAACCGCAACAAACTTCAGAGTGCTGTCATTTCTAAGCCACTCGTCCGACAGCTGTAAAAAAAAACATTTTTTTGAGAATTTTCCAGAAAAAAAGTAATTCGTGATGGAATTCAAGCGTGATCTCTTTATATTTGGCTGGAAAATCACAAGATGCTATCGTTAGAGCACTCCAGCATTTAAATGTGAATAAATCTTTTGTGTCTCGTACCATCGCTACCGTTACCGCGATACTGGTAGCGTAGCCCGACGTCAAGGAAGTGGACGGAAGAAAACAGCAACATCAGCAGAAATGGTTCGAAAAGTAAAGAAGCGACTTGATCGAAACCCGCATCGCAGTGGCCGAAAAATTTCTCGTGAGCTGAACAAATTGCCATTTTCCTTTCCGCAAATATTGAAAAATGAGCTCGAGGTAAAGTCATTGAAATTCCAAAATGTGCAAGAACTTACACCGCAACAGCAACAGAAAGAAAATAGACTCAAAAGAGCTAAAGAGTTCCTTCGTTTGGCCGAAAGTTGTGAACTGCCGAATTTAGTTTTCTCTGATGAGACAACATTCGTTGTCCAGCAGTTTGTAAACAAACAAAATGATCGTGTTTACTTGCCAAAAAGGTCAGCTGAAAATGTGCACCTTCTGTTGGCCACCAGAACTCAATGGTATGGGCCGCCATAACAGCCGATGGTCGCTCTCCGCGAAAATATTCTGGAGGGTGTATTAAAGCCCTGGGCACGCAAACATTTTGGGCGCAGACCTTGGACATTCCAATAGGACTCAGCTCCATCGCAGTCAGCTCGCGCCACCCTAGAATGGTTACAAAATGAGGTTCCTCGCTTCATTTCCATCGCACAATGGCCACCAAAGTCTCCGAATACCAATCCGTTGGACTATTGTGTCTGGAGTATTTTGGAAAACAAGGTTGACACTAAAAAATACCAAAGAGTCGATCACCTTAAGCAAGCGCTTCGCCAGGAATGGGCCAAAATACCGCAGAGCAACATTCGGGCAGCGTGTGACGGTTTTATTGGCTGTTTGAAGGCCATAATTCGAACAAATCTAAACTAATTCTAAAATTTGATGCTATTTCCAAAATTTTCTGCTTTCATTCAATAAAATTAAAAAAAAAAATTATAAAATCATGTCGTTTGACTTTGTTGCAGTTTTTTATCTCACCTTGTATATGTAGATGTATGCATATATGTGTGATGTTTATGTTGGTCTTTAAACAGCTTCTTTAATCTGATACCTCACCAGACTTTTAAATGCGTAGCAATTAATCAAATTACAGCCGATTTTCTAATGAAGTTGACAAATAGTCATGTCGTTCCTATTAAACGTTTTCTTTTTTACGATACTCGCACTCTAAATTCGCATTTTATTATTCGACTTAGAACTCAAATGATCCATGCCTATTTCAATGAACATTTACCAACCATAAACACATTGTGATACTTATTTATGTACATATTTGGTAATATACATTATCTTTGCCGTATGATCTCACATAGATGTGCGAATATGTGTGTGTGTGTGTGTGTGTATGTACATATGTCTGTGTTTTATTGCCTCTAATCAATTATATGCTGGTGGCTAACTATCTCGCTTTAGTCGAGAATTCCTCCTTCACCGTTTGCGCTTCCAATGGAACGAGCCCAACTTAAAAGCGTCAAGCCATTAGAAATAAATAACAACTGAAATCATTCAAATCCGCTTCGGCGTTTCGAAGTCATCGAGCAGCAACAAAATAACTTTAAAACAACAAATAAAAAAAAACACACAAATTAAATGTCTTTCTAAATTATGCGTAACTTAAGACAATAACGAAAAAGAAAAAGTTTAAGAAACAAAAACACAAGTACCTACGAGAATTTCATTTTAGATAGCGCGGGTGTTTCGAGGGGCAACTTGAACTGTAAATTGCTGAAAAACATGTTTCGTTTCTTTTACTGTCAAAGACCACATATTTTGGATATTTAGTTGGTGGTAACACGTCTGGCAAACATGGATCGATTGCCTTGCCAAAGTCAAAAGGCAGAGAGAAATAATTGTTTTATTACTTCTTCGGCTCTCTCGCTGGCGCTGTTGTTTATTTGTCAGGTAACGTAACTTGTTTTAATGAAAACAACAAACTATAAACATTGTCTTTGTGAATTTCTAATAGTCGGAACAGTGTTCTGAAATGGGCCAATCATATGAAATGGAGTTTGATAGAGTTGAAGGACGCTAAAACATTTAAAAGTCTATTCTGATAGGAGATTTTCAAGTTACGAATTGGAGGAATTGTCATATTCCTCTCTTATAATCATGATGGTCATCATTGATGTAAAGTATTAATTACAGATGGTATATGTGACACTGCCTACCTTAAGGACAGAAAAAGTTCTAAAAAGTACCAGCGATAGAGCAGAATTAAAACATTGAAAATTTTCCTGAGATTTACACTTGGTTTAGATACGAGATTTTTGGAATTTTTAAGGGTTCAAGAGATACTAAAAGGTACAAAATGCTACGGCATTGTTATTGAAGATTGTTAATAACAAAAATTTTAGAAAATCTGCGTGAGGATCGCCCGTGGTTTTAAGGTGATATTTTTGGTAACTCGTACTTCAAGAGTAACAAGAAAAAAAGCAGTAAGTTCGGCCGGGCCGAACTTTGAATACCCTCCACCATTTGGAACGGGTTTGGAATGAAGAATATAACATTCGCCAAAAATTCTGTTAACATCTTAAAAATACATACACCCAGAGAAAAAATGACAACATCCGTGTATGAAATGACCACATCCGTGTATGATAGTGTATCAACCACGTTTGGTGTCAAAATGAGCACGCTGTTGTCATTTTGACACCGAGATTTTGGCAACGATTTCAACAACAGATGTGCATGAAATGAGCACATACGTGGTCATTTCGAGCACGCCCCGTTGTCAGATTGTCAACGCTTCGTTGTCAGATCGTCAACGCTTCGTTGTCAGATTGTCAACGCTCCGTTGTCGGATTGTCAACGCCCGTTGTCAGATTGAAATCAATGGTGGTCATTTTTTGATATCCGTTCCTTTTCCATTTTATACCCTTAGTAGAAGAAACGACATTTTTTGAAAAGTATTTTATTGAACGAAACCAATTACATAAATTCAATATAAATACATATTTGATTTAACAAAACAATTCGAATTACATATATTCAATGTATAGAAACAAATTAAATTAACTTAAATCCTGTTGTCCTGAACGCATTGTACTTTTAAAAATTTAGTGGACATTAAATGGTCTGTTTTCAAATGAGCTATTAAAAGATTTGCCTTATCAAAATGCTTACGGCAACGAAAGCAAATATACATTTTGAATTGTACTTTAATTATTGTTGCAGAAATTAATAAGTGAAGTCAAATTAACTGATTTTATATCATATACAGTATTAATTTCATAAAAATATTTTTGGATAAAAATCCATGGAATTTGGCAGGCATTTGGATATTTTAAAGAAAGTGCATGAAAAATTTTAAAACATGTATCTAAACATTCGAGGAACGATTGAAATTTTAACAAATTGTGGTTAAAAAAAACATAAAAACCTTTTATATTGAAATCGGACAAACCCTCCACAATTATAAATGGCTGTATAGTTAATCCAGCATTGTAATACTTTTCAGTGACTGTATCAATTTGCCTTTTATAATCGTTAATTGTCGGTAGTCGCAGTACGAAACTTTCCTGCGAATCAGCTATTGTTACTTTTTTTCGTAATTTACCGTTTCCACATTTAAACCTAGCAGGTGATGGTAAAACTGAATTCAACAGTATTGCGTATATATAATCTTGAGCATCTGCAACCGAAATATAAAATAAATATTACTTTTAATGTTTATGATAAATCAGGAATTAAAATTTACCTATGCTGCTTGCCGTCAAAACATTTGCGAAGAGTTGTTTGCAATGTTCGTTATGAATATTTTTCCCATAATAATTGTAAATTTTTTTCTTAAATTGGTCCCATTTAGAAAGTAGAAGATTGCCTTTCTGTGGATACATAATATCGAAATCAATGTTGACCTAAAACGAAACATTAGTATCCATATACAAATAAATAGCTCATGGCTACTTACCAATTCTGAAGCTCTTGCATCGGACAACTTCGTCCATTCAAGGAGAAATGTATGGCTACTTAAATTTTTTATATCTCTTTGCCGTATGTTAAAAGATCTTTTCCATTTTTCGCAGATCGATCCCCAATCATTACATTCTCTTAGTAAGGAAGCTTTCAATGAATTTTCAACTGATTCATCAATTTCGGGAACATCTTTGTTACAAAAATTAGGAGATGTGTGAGTTGCTGCTTTGCTTGTGCTAGGCTCGGAAATCAAAAGCTTTATTCTTTTGGACTTCTTGTTTCTATACTTGGCATAAAGTTTTCCGCTTGCGTTGTTCTTTCCTTTTCTTGAAATGTAATAATAATCCTAAAAATAAAGACATATTATAAGTTAAGAAACTACATAATCAGATACGTTGTTTATATTGTTAATCTTACCCTCATTTCGTTTTCAAGAGGAAAAACGGAACAAATTTCATCCAATATGCGCATATAGTCTTGAGTGTAAAGAGTAACATTGTTGGTTAAAATATCTTCAATAATTATATTAATTATATCATCTCTTTGCTCGTCACTTAATTTCTTATTAACGCTACTACATTCAAGCGCTAGTTTCCCCTTCGAGGTATGTGTTAACAATTCCGTTAGATCCTATATTAAATAAAAAAACTACATTAACTATGCTTACACAAATATTACTCTTACCTTACCTCTGACAAAATTCCTTTGGCTTTTGAGCAGTTCGAACCTGTAGTGTCGGGAGTACCAGGAGTACTTGCAGGTGTCTCGTTGCGTTTCCACCATTCACCTATTTTAGATGGAACTGACATAGTTTCGTCATCAATCCCGAGCTATTGTTATGACAATATTAATACTGAGTTCAACTCTGTAAAACAAATAATACGTACCTTTCGTTTTTTCCAAGCAAAGAGCTTTTCTCTGAATTCAACACGCAGTCCCAATGGTGGCACTGCTTCCTTTAAATCTTCTTTTTTCAAGTACTGCAAGCTGCGAAATGTTACATGTGATGCTAAAAGAACAAAAAAGAAAATTCTTTGTTAATTACACTGATTAACTGAAAAATTCATTTTTATTTACTTACCTTTTAATTGTTCAAAAAGCGACTCCATATTTATTCCTTTTAAGAACTCCCTTAACATATAATCGTCCTCATTGTTTTCCGCATCTTGACTGCTGCAATGGTTTGTATCGCGAACCACAACAATATTGCCATCGATTTCTAACAACTCACCAATGATATTTTGAGGATCTTGCGAATTATTATTCATTTTCAATAAATTTTTTGCACAATGCGTCCTTTCTCTTTCAATAACACGGAAAAAATGGTAAATATGCAGCCGATTGCACACGAGTAAAAAAAATGACAACGGTGGTGCATGATTCATACACGGTAGTTGCTAAAATGGCAACGATCGTGTACGATTCATGCACGTCGGTGTACAAAGTAACAACGGTGGTGCATCATTATGCAGGTGGTGGTGCATAATTCATACACGACCGGTGTCATATTGACAACGACCGTGTGTGAATCATGCACCACCGTTGTCATTTTTTACTCGTGTGTAATCGGCTGCAATTACCAATATTACAAATGGACAAATTAAGCACGGCTGTTGTTGGTACCGAAAGTTGACCACGTCTCGGTGTCAATTTGAGCACGTTCGTGCACAATTCACCAACAGCCGTTGTTGAAAAATATAACAACGGGTCGTTGCGAAAATGACAACATACGTGCTTGATTTCGCAACGGGATTTTTCCCTCAGTGTAGGCATTATTTGTCATTAGCCATTACCATATTCAAATTCGAAACTTGAAATAAACGATGAATAACGTAGCTAAAATCATCAAAATCCATATATAGAAAGGTACCGTTATATCGGAGCTATACGAAGACGTGGACCTGTATAGACAATTTTCTGTCACAGGCTGTAGCTTCCATTACTAACTTCAAATACGACATCTCAAACAATTTCCGTGAGTATTGTACCTAAAATCGTCAAAATACCGAATATAGGGAGGTACTGATGTATGGGGCCTATACGAAGAGCTGGACCTGTATAGACAATTTTCTGTCGCAGATTGTAGTTCCCATTACGGACTCTAAATGCGTAATTTGAAACTACTACGATGAATAATGACGCTAAAATCTTCAAAATACCGAATATTGGGAGGTACCGTTATATGGGGGATATACGAAGACGTGGACCTGCATAGACAATTTTCTGTCGTAGGCTGTAGTATTCACTACGAACTTCAAATACCAAATTTGAAACAATTCCCGTGAATAGTGTCGCCAAAATCATCAAAATACCGATTATGGGGATGTACCGTTATATGGGGGCTATACGAAGACGTGGACCTGCACAGACAATTTTCTGTCGTAGGCTGTAGTATCCATTTCGAAATTCAAATGCCAAATTTGAAAAAAAATTCGGTGAATGATGTCGCTAAAATCATCAAAATACCGAATATCGGGAGGTACCGTTATATGGGAGCTATATAAAAACGTGGACCTACATGACCCATCTACGAAGTTAACCTGCCTACTGACAAAATAAACACGTGTGCAAAATTTTAGACTTCTATCTCAATTCGTTCGAAAGATAGCGTCAGACGGACAGACAGACGGGCAGACAGACAGACGTACATGGCTACATCGTCTTGGAATTTTACACTGATCAAGAATATTTACACTTTGTTGGGTCTGACATGAGTATTTCGAGGAGTTACAAAATGGAATGACAAAATTAATAATATACCCTCCATAGTATGGTGGAGGGTATAAAAAGTTTCCTAAAGGTACATTATTTTTAGAGAGCATTCAGGAAGATGAAGAACTTTGGAATTTATCACCAGTGCAACTCTTGAGCGATTCATCAACGCCCAGACGATACGGTCAAAGCTAGAATCTTGAAATTTGGTGTGGGGGTCACTCTTGGTCCGGGTGGTCAGATAAGGATGGGTTTTTGGAAATTCATACCAGAACGGTGCGATAAGTATTAAAAATTACCAAATATGGTACCCATTTTATTTGAGGAATCAGTAGAGCTAGAAATCTTAAATTTGGAATGAGAGTCACTGATGGAGTGTATGATAGATCTACAAAAGGGGTTGGTCCGAAGGGGTCAGAAAAGGCTGGATTTTTGGAAATTCGGTAGGACGGTACGATAAGTATAAGGTACCCAATATGGTACCTGTTGTATTTGTGGAATCAGTAGAGCTAGAACTATTAAATTTGTAATGAAAGCCACTAATGGAATGTATGTAGATTTAACAAAGGGGTTTTGAAAGTTCGCACTGTAAGTGTACGAAAATTACTGATATGTACTACATTTTTTACCACTTCGTGTCATGTGAATGGTCAGAGGTAAAAACTTGAAATTTCGAATGTTAATCAAGGTTGAGGAGTAGAGTAGATGGAAGGAGGTAGTTTTGGAAGTGTGTACTCATCTACACGAAAAGTACTAAACGGCACTAAGTTTAGTACGATTTTATTTTGGAGGAATGGATAGAGCTCAAATTCTGAACTTTGAAATTAACATGACTGGCGGTGTGGGATTGGGATATGGAGGAAGTTTTCGAAATTTGTATTTATATGCACGAAAGGCACTAAATGGTACTATATTTGGTACAATTTCGATTTGAGTGAACCGACAGAGCTGGAATTCCGAAATTAATGAATAAGATTACTATAGCATTGTGGGACTGAGGAATGTAGCTGGTTTTGGGAATTCGTACTTATGTTTACTAAATGGTACTAAATTTGGTACGATTTAAATTTTTGGGAGAACCAATTGAGTTGGAATACTGAAATTTGGAAATAAGATTATCATTGCTTTGTAAGACTCAGGTATGTAGATAGATTTGAAGAATCGTCCTTATGTGTACAAAATGGTACTAAACACAGGGTGAGATGAAAAAACTGCAACCAACTTCAGACTGCTGTCATTTCTAAGCCACTCGTCCGATAGCTGTAAAAATTATTCCTGTGATAGCTCAGTATATTGTTCACAAGCGTACAAAAGCATTTTGGTGAGAATTTTCCACAAAAATAAGTTATTCGTGATGGAATTCAAGCGTGATAGTGTGATTTCTTTATATTTGGCTGGAAAACCACAAGTGGCTATCGTTAGAGCATTCCAGTATTTAAATGTGAATAAATCTTGAGTGTCTGGTAACATCGCTCGTTACCGCGATACTGGTTGCGTAGCCCGACGTCAAGGAAGTGTTCGGAAGAAAATAGCAACATCAGTAGAAAAGGTTCGAAAAGTAGAGAAGCGACTTGATCGAAACCCGCGTCGCAATGTCCGAAAAATGAGGTTCCTCGCTTCGTTTCCAGCGCACAATGGCCACCAAAATCTCCAGGTACCAATCCGTTGGTCTATTGTGTCTGGAGTATATTGGAAACCAAAGTTGGCACTAAAAAATACCAAAATGTCGATCACCTCAAGTAAGCGCTTCGTCGGGAATGACCCAAAATATCGCAGAGCAACATTCGGGCAGCGTGTGACGGTTTCATTGGCCGTTGCCGTTTGAAGGCCATAATTCGGGCCAAAGGTGACCAATTCGACAAATCTAAAGTTATTCTAAATGTTGATGCTATTTCCGAAATTTTTTGCTTTCATTCAATAAAATTAAAAAATAGTGAAAATTATGGCGTTTGACTTTGTTGCGGTTTTTTATCTTACACTGTATATCTCTTGTTTATTTTTATTTATTTATTTTTTTTTTTTAAATACCGAAGAATGGCTCTATGTAGATCCTCTGTTGCCTTCCCAAGAAACAGTCGTATTTTTGAAAAATTATGAATCACATAGGAAGAGAACTGTGTCCAAGATTCGGTTAAAATTTTGTATTATAATCAAAATATTGAGTTCGCCGAAATGCACCAATAATTTTGATTAACTCCTACGTCATTGACATTCCATATTTCAAAATTTTAAAATTATTTGAGATAATATGACTTAACTAATAATTCCTCACGTAGCGATATGGCGTAGCAATAAACGACTAATTTACGTTTTATTTACATTTGTGATTATGACGTTATTCAAATATTGCTATAGGTATTCATTCATTGATATATTCAAATGAAATATTCCATAAAATTTAATAAGAAAATAATTCTTTAAAATTAATTTAAAAATTTCCATTTAATATAATTCGACGTATTTTAAAATAATATCAAAGATTGAATATAAAATATTGGATGGATACTAACAGCTCATTATAATAAAATCGTAGAAACGATTGTGTGTTTCTTATTTTTTTTTTTTTTTTTTTGTATATATTTATTTTATTATTCATTTCTTTTTGTTAAACGTGATTTGTTTAAAATTAAGACAAAATTCCCAGCCAAATGTGTGACAAATGAAGCAAAACTCACACATACACTGACACACACACCTTCATATAAACGCCTTATGCCGGTAAGTATGCCGGTCAATATACGATTATTAAAATATTTTCAAATTTTATTTGAAAAACGAGTAGATTTAAATCAGAATGGCGATGATATCGTAAAAATAATGCACCGTAAAATATATTATACCCTGACATGGCACAAGTGTAATAATTTAGGAGGGGAGTAACAATAAATTGCGACAATGAAGTAAAAGAAAGAAATAATAACAAAGAGATAGACGGGAAAACGTCCGAATTTCCAAATTCCAACGATTATAATAAATAATCATACAAGGGATAATAAACAATGCAACAACTACGATTTTCATTCAAGGAAATTACATTCCCTTCTAAATAAACGTTCGAAAATTATAGCCTTCCTCACATCCTCTAATCCCATAAATCACAAAACTGTTTCACTCTATTTCAGCTACATACATCTAAAACAGAATTTTGAGTTCTTTCACTCAATTTTCCTTAAGAACGTAGAAAAAAACAATGCAGCAACAAACCCTGGCACTAATTCGAAACGATTTGAAAACAATTGTTATTTTAAGGTGCAAGTCAACAAAAACGAGCGTCAGCCGCTTTTTCGTACGTGATTATGATGGAATTAATGAAATTAATTTCGTTTTTTATTTAAAATAAAAAAGTTAAATAAAATAAAAATAATCACCCAAAAGAGCCCAACTCAAATGAGATGACAAAACAATATCAGATTTTGCTGGTGAAACGTAAACGGCACAGTGGGTTACAAAATGGTGAAAGTCTATATTGAAAAACCACTTTTCTATCCATTAAATATCGATCGAGTCTTCTTTAAATAAATCAACATTTTATGACAACATGTAAAACATCTTCTTTTTATAAAAGAGCTTCGGAGAAGCCTTTGTATTGTCTTTGGTTTGCAGGATACCCTTTAAAGTCCTTCTATTAATAAAAAAAACCTCTAGAAGGATTTCTGCCTAAATGAGGTTTGATAAATATCTTCTGCCTGTAGATAAGGTACATATAGGGCTTCTATTTATAAAATACCTACTAATATTTTTAAAAACAGCAAAGAAAATCTAAAAGAAATGCGGGCCGAATTTGTGATACCCTACCCCCCTTTTGCATAATTAGTAGAACTTCGTACAACAAAAAAAAAATCAGATATCTGAACCGACTT